ATTTCCTCTAATCTGTATCATTAATTGCTTCATTTATGTTGGGTTGTTCCTATTAGCATGCACACTTCTTTTCTTTTTTAAAGCTCTACCATTAAACATAATAACAACAGTAACAACAGCAAATAGTCACAACTCTGCTCCCTAAGCTCCCTAAAAGACAGAGCCCTCCCATGTCCATTCCTTAATTTTGGTCTATTTCCCTGTTTTCCTTAGCCAAATTTGTTACATGCATTGTCTTCATAAACTCTTACTTTGTCACTTTCTTATGTACTGTTTAGCCTTCTACCATGTTTTATTTTCTTAGGTGATCTTATTCCTACAGATTTATATAATTATGTGATGACCCCAAGGTTATATCTGAGCTCTAGATCTAATACAGTTTTATATATATATATATACACACACACACACACACACATACATAGTTACCCCCTTAATATTTTTGTTTGCTGTCGTATAGGTATTTAGAAACTCAAGCATGTTTAAATTCTTGAGTTCTTCCTGCTCTGTTTTATTTCAGAAAATGTACCACCATCTTCCTTAAAAAGTAGATACCATCCATCATTTCCTACTTGTTTTCAGTCCCTACCTTTAGTCCATTAGCAAGACCAGTTATTTCAATATCCAAAATATATCACCTTGCTCTTCTTGCCTCCCTTTAATTCACAGAGCAACAAGAGAGATCTTAACTGAAATCCAGTTACTTCTCTCTCCTGCTTTGAGACCATTATTTTAACTTAAAATCTATAAACTCCATTATATAAACCAGGAAGGTTTGCATGATCTGTTCCCTTATCTTTTTAGCCTCTCTCTTATGTTTCTCCTGGCACGTGGTACTACTGCTTCATTGGCCTTTTGGTTACTGCAGTGTTCTATGTTATTTTAATACCTGTGCTTTTGGACATGCTGTTTTCTGCCTGTAATGCTCTTTGTTCATTCTTCTTATCCTCTAGTTGGCTGGTAAGTGTTATCTTAGAGAGGTTTTTCCTAACCTGGTACCTAAAGTTTGTCTCTTTGATTCTCACCACTTGTTTGTTTTTTCTGCGTAGTATCCAATTTATGATTTTTGTCATTTAAAAAAAATGTGTTAAATTCTGCCCCAACTGTAATATAAGCATCAAGAAAGCATTGACTTTGGTTTTATTGTGTGTGATTATATCTTCATTGCATAGCAGAGTACTTACCTTGTGGGCCCCCTAAATGTATAATGAGTGGATGGGTGGATGGATGGATGGATGGAGTAGTAACTGACTACAACTGGCCTTAAGAACACCCAGCATCCTTCAGTTCAGCTTTGAACAATAATTGTTACTTATGAAGTTATCCAGTAAGAAGTATAATAAATTCAACCTATTTTAGAAAAATGTTTCACAAAATAAAATTAAACTAGCTTGAGTATATTTAAAAAGAAAATGGGACCTAAAAAATGTAAGGGTCTTAAAATATTTCATTTTTATAGGGCTTAAATGTAAGTTTTCCTGTACTAAGAGTTCTACTCATTACTTCTCATATCTAAATAACTAATTTTAGTTGTTTTAAATGAGTTATTGCTTATATGTTCTTCTAAATGTTACATATACTCAGTCCTCATCATTCATAGTCTCTATATTTGTGATTTGCCTACTTGCTAAAATGTATTTGCAAACCTTAAATCCTTACTTCTAGTGCTTTCAAGCTCTTTCCCTGACACATGCCGAGTGGCAAAAAATTCGAATGGCTTAATGCCCATGTTCTCAGCTGCAACCTTCTTGTTTCACCTCTCATATTGTAAACAGCTGTCCTTCTCATGGTCTGCTTAGTCATATTTTCACATTTTTGCTTTTTGTTGGTGATTTCACTATTTAAAGGGACCCCAAAGCATAGTGCTGAAGTGCCATCCAGTGTTCCTAAGCACGAGAAAGCTGTCATGTACCATGTGGAGAAATTCACTTGAAATAGTCACAGACGTCAGGAAAATAATATACTTATGATTACAGTTATTAGATAAGCTTTGTTTAGGGTTGAGCTACAGTGCCGTTGGCTGTGAATCTTATGTTGAATCAACAGTATATATTAAATAAGGTATATTTAAACATAAACACGCATAAAACAAGGTTTCATATTGATTGGTTGATGAAAATGTTGTGACCAGAGGCTCACAGGAACCTAACCCTGTATTTCCCCTAGGAGCAATGGTTCAGTGTTCGCGGCGACTTTATAGAACATAACTACCGCGAATAACGAGATTCGACTGTAAGTTAAAATTCTGGACTTCAATCAAGATTTCAGGAAGTGCTTCCTCAACCCATGTTAATTACAGTTTAGGGACTTTTGGGTTGGGGTATATATTTTATTTTAAAACCCTTAAACTTAAGTGGAGGACTGAATTCATGTTGGTTCAATGATCCTTTTTGAGCACTTACTATATGCCAGTAACTACCAGTTTTGAAGTATACAAAAACACCTAAATCATAAAAATAATCTCTTCAAGAATCAGTTAAAGGAATATTCTATTTTAATCCAGTTGGCCTGATAACCAAGTGCAATTCAGTTTTGACTGTTTCAGGAGTTAGTACAGACACCACAGGTTAAAGACAAAGGCCTCTCTTAGAATGCCCAGTCTTCAGACACCAATTGCAAGTTATTGGGCTCTCCAGGCCACCCATACTTCTGACAACTTGCTGCTGGCTACAAATAAGGGCATTCCCATGACCCCCTTGGATTCAATAATTTGCTAAAGCAACTAGAACTTAGGAAAGTGCTGTGCTTATGATTGCAATTTTACTATAAAGATTACACATAGGATGAGGTTTGGAAAGGAGCTCAGAGAGTTTCCTTGCTCACCCTGTGGAATCAGAGTACTTTTAGGTACATCCTGTGTGTTGTGTTGACCAATCAGAAAGCTTCTCTGAGCTTCCGTGTCCAGAGATTTTATGGAGTTTCATTATGTATGGATGATTTTGAATCACTGGTCACATGATTGAACTGAAATCTTCAGGCCCTCTCTCTGTCCTGGAGTTCAGGTGGCTGAAAGACCCCTCTAATCACATGGTTGATATTTCTGGTGACCAGCGCCCAAACCGAAGAAGCTATGTGGAAGTACATCATGAGTCCCTTCATACCATAACAAAGACACCCCGTTATCACTCAGGAAATCCCAAGGGCTTTTGCAGCTCCATGCCAAGAACTGGGATATATTCTATATTTCCAGTTCTATATATATCTAATAAAGATATATCTAATATATCAAATAAAGATATATTCTTTATTATACCATAGAGAGATGGCCTTATAAACAGTAAAAGGTAAATGAGGAGTTTGTTAGATAGGAGCATGGGTCTTTACAAGCAGAGAGAAGAATATATGGCAAAACACCAAGGGATGGAAGAGTTTGGAATAAAATGGCATTTAGTCTAGTTAGAATGTCATGTTCAAACAGGGAATTGTTTAAGGTGAGTCTGGTGAAGTAGACTGGCTTTGGAAAGAGAAGGTTACAAACCGTATATGCATTTGGGCCTTGTGATGTCTTTTAACTTTAATGGAAATTTTCAAACATATTCAAAGAGTGGACAGAATAATATGAATTTATAATGAATATAATGAGCTCCTGTGTACTCATCACAATAGCTAGTGGCCAACTTGTTTCATCTGTGTTTTCTTCATCTTCCTTCCCACCAACATACTATTTTGTAGCAAATATTATTTTATTTTTGCTTTTAAAAAGTTCCTATAATCCCATTGTTATAGCTAAAATTTTAACCATTTCTTAAACATCAAATTTCTTAACATTACTCAAATTTCCTATTCTGCAGTATTTTTAAAAACAGCAAATCAGTTGCTAGCTTTTTAAAATCAAGATAGCAAACATTCTAACATTTTTAAAAATTGGGTTGTTTCACTTTAAAAATCCAGATTTTTGTAATTGAAAATTGGAAGGTCTAGCAGTACAAGTTGTGTGTTTCTCCATTATGACAGCAAGGCCTTCCTTATTCAGTCTTTGCCTAGTTGCCTTAGTGCTTTGCCCTGTGAGGAGTCTTGGAAAGAATTTAGACAGGCATATACCTTTATAAGATTTGCATCATAGAAAAATAACTGAAGATGGGATTAGAATGCATTTAGGGGAGTATCCAGGAGAAAGCAAGACCAGTTAAAGAGTTTTGCCATAGTCAGAGGAAAGAGGAAGATATGCTGAACTAAAGTTCTTTTAGACAAGCAGGCAAGTTGAGAATTTTAAGAGTCAAAAAACCGAATTAATGATAACATGTGCAAAGGGCACACTGAAGATAAAACTTTAGAATCAAATTTAGGTAGCTGGTAGATAAGATGTTTAGGTGAGACAGGAAATTGAGAATGATGAGGTGGGTGCTTGGGAGGGAATAAATGATTTGTTTGGATGTTTGGACTGTGTAGTGGAGGTGAGTATACTTGGTTATTGGAGCCCTAACTGAAAAGGGTTAGTTAGATAAAGCCAAGAGTGAAGGGTTTTGTAAATACAGTGATTTACTCTAATTCTTATACACTAAAGCTTCATAATTCTCCATCTAAATTAAAGGAGTGAAGAAAAGGAAAGGAAAAGAAAGACTACTTATAGTTTTGAGAGCATACAAAGGACTCTTTTTAAGACAACTATCAATTCCTTCTGTGTAAATGAAGGATGGGTGGAGTATTCTAATGTGCTACTATACTGCCAGCTTGCCTGTAGAGTTCACTCCATGTACTTTTAACAGTAAGCCTATATGGTCTAAATATATGTTAATACATTGTCAGTTGTAAGAAATATACCTGCAGACATCATTGCAGGGTCTGGCATCTAGTAAGTGCTTGGTAAGTGTTCCCTGGATTTGAATCGAAACCCTTTTAAGGGTTAAGCATCAGTATCTGTTTCAGATTAAGTTTTTCATCTAATTATTTCCCTGCAGTGTCTTCATAAATAGGACACTCAATAAATATTTATAGAATAAATGAATAATTCTGGTGATTTTTAATTGCTTTACTTTAAAAGATTCTTTTTCTTTTCTTAGTTTGAGATGGTATCAACATCCTACAGAAGAAGAATTAAGAATTCTTGCAGGGAAGCAGCCAAAAGGGAAAAGCAAAAAAGATAGGTAAGTTATAATGTTGAACTTGAAAAGTGCTAAATATATGACACAATTTTTGTAAATTATTTTTGTTCTTTGGTTAAAGGAACATTTACCAATTATACTATAAGCAGTTGATAAAGTTGAGATCAGAACTCATGATCTAAAAAGTATTGAATCATTTTTTAAGAAAATTAATATGTAGTGATCTTATATGAGCACAGAAGTGATTAGTTTACATAAGAATGGTTAACTTTAGAAAACTTTGGGTTTTTTTCTTCTTCTTTGTGTTTAAATTATGGAAAAATAAAATCATCATATTAAAATATAGTGGGGAGTTCTTAGGGAGAGACCCATAACCCATTGTCTTTACCCTACAACTCATTTGAAGATACCAGTTGGCTTGGGTTTTGTCCCAGGTTTTGCTACCACTCATTATGATGATATTGGGCAAATTTGCCTGTTCTTGACCTCTGTGTTCTCAAAATTTTTTCACACAAAAGGGGTAGACAGTATAATTTCTTCATTCTCATTCACCTGTTGAATATTGTATTGATAGTTTATTAAGAAAACTTCCTACTAATAAATCTCACAAATAGACCAAAGAAGCTTCAATTTTGAAATAGAAGGACCAAATATAGTAATTTTGGAGAATTCTTCTAGCTTTAAAATTTTATTTAAAATCTTTGTTTAAATTGAATTCTCAAGGAAGGGCATGTTAATAAATTGGCCTCTCTGAATGGTCCTTAGCTTTCTCACCTGGGGAGGACTTCTTAGGACTTGAAACTCTGATTCTAATATATTACAAAATGTTTGTGACAACAAATTTCTCATGTATATCATAAAAAGTACATTAACCTGGGCTTAGTATATTTGTATGTGCTACTTTTTCTTAAGCATCAGTGATTATTCGACATGAATTTGAAAATTTGAAAAGACTGTCTTTACTATCTTGTTACCATTCTCTATTTCACTTACCATCACAAATACACCTTGAAATTCATTGAAATATAAGTGTAAACCTCTTTATCTGTATTGCAATAGTTATGATCTTTAGTAAAACATACCCTCCTGTGTGGTATTTCCAAAGCACTTTTACACAGTGTTACTTAATCCACTCAACAACCCTGAATATTAGGTATTAATTTATATTTTACTAACGAGGAAAAGGATGTTAAATGAGTTGTCCAAGTTAACATAACTATTTAAAGTTAGAATTTTAATCCAGGTTGGTTTTTAGTTTCTATATTTCTTCTTCACTGTTCCACCTCTGCCTATTCATAGCTATACCATGTCCAATATTTGTAAAATTTTGTTATATAGTATACTGTTTATTTTACAAATAGTTGAATTCTTATAGTCATTTGTTTTGTAGTCATACCTTGTAGTTAACATATGCCTTATAGTCAATAATTTTATTTTTACAATAACTTTTATATGATGAAAATGCTTTACATTTAACAAAAGGTGCACGAGTGACACCGTCTTGTTCCTTGTAGCAATAATTATTTGATTTACTGATGTGGATTAATCTTTTTACCAAGGTTTTCCCAGAGTATATTTATTCAAGAATAAATGCAAAATTTTTTCTTGATATTATAGTTAATGTTATTAAAACTTTGTTACTTTTACATATGTTTGATTGTCTTTAAAAATTAAATTTGAGCATGATACATAAGCACCTGAAGAATTCCTTTCTCTTCCTCCATCCGTGATTCTTTGTAAAAGTGACTCCCAGTAAGTCTTACACATTTCTGAATTTCTCATGCACATAAATCTTAATATATTTCTTTATCTCTGACTTGTTTATAGCCACAGGTCTGTTTATGTATATATATTTACATACATATACACACATATATATGTATATATATTTACATGTATGTTTGTACATGTGTTTAAAGAAAGATGCATTTTGTCTTCATTTGCCTTTACTTTTTTGCCTAAAGAAAGGTGTTAGATTGTCTTTAAATCTACAGAAGGGAGAGTAGGAGAAATGGGGTGAACTGTTAAAATAGCAATCAAGATTTTGTCACTAATTCAGGTAACTGTTTCTCTGGTAATCTGCATATTCACGTAATAATTCACATTAACAGATTGTAGTCTTCCCTTTTAAAAACTACTTTTGAATACCTTAACTTCCTTTTTGATGAAATGTTAGAAATTCTGCTTCTTTTTCACTGTGAAATTTAAAACCTCATTTGTAATCAGTTTAATACAAGCACTTGAATAACAGTGTAGGTAACTTGTTTCTTGTGTCACTTGTCTGATTTTTATAGGAAATATAATGGTCACATTGAAAGTAAGCCACTAACCATTCCAAAGGATATTGACCTCCATCTAGAAACAAAGTCAGTTACAGAAGTGGATACTTTAGGTAAGGGAAATCCTGCTAAAGCGCTCTGTAAATTTCTTTTAAATTATGCTAGTGAAAATACTTTCATTTTTGTGCTAGATTTTTTTGTTTTTTTAATCATTAAGTCCATCATACAGAATATGGAATCTTTTTTAGTACTTAAAATCTCAAAATGACTTAATTTGATTTTTTTTTTTTT